ATGTGATCGGTTTTCGATTTTTTGAAAATCCTAAAATTTGTTTCATGATTATTGTGCAAATAACTCTTTTTTATATATTGGCTTTGTAGAAATTTTTTTATATATATAAAAGCATTAGGAAACGATAATATACTTTTTTTTTTTTTTTACAATGAGATATGATGCTCTTCGTAGATGAAATTTTGTTGATGAGACGTGACTAAGTTTTTTCTTGGATTTAGTTGATGGGTTAACGGGTCTTGAGTTTAAAATTTTTTGGATTATGATTGGAAAAATACCCAAGTAGGTAGAGGGGAATTAATATATTAGATCAGTTTGGATTGGATCAATTTTCATCAACCAATCCAAAATCTGATATAGTCCAATTAAAATTTGGGATTGATTGATGAACACCCCTAACACAAACTCATTAGGTGTATCTGTTATGGACTTATGGACCCATATCTGAAACCCACTATTGCTAACTGAAACCCACTATTGCTAAGCCCAACAAGGGACAATCTAAGCATAAATCGGACATAATTAAGAAAAGATATTCATCAAGGATACTAATCATAATACGATAGCATAATACATCGGCTTGGGCCATTAGCAAAAGTCATGAAAGTCCAGCACCCAATATCCACAGGTAAACTCTATAAATAAGAGATAAAACCTACAGGTACACACGCTCTCTCTTACTGTTTATGTTCTCATTGTGCATACACACCCTTTGGCAAAGTCGTATATTGTCTTCTGTGTACCTTGGTCTGCTTGACTCAAGGGCATCTAGCTCATAAATACTTTAGATAAGGCACTTAGATCCAAAAGCAACATACTAGTCCATTGAACTAGACATCTCTGTCTCTACCAAAAAAAGAAAAAAAAAAGAAATGTACCCAAATATAAAGGAATTGAACTTGTAAAATTGAACGGACATTATAGCAAAAAAATAAATAAATAAAATTACCATGTCAAAATAAACCATATTAAAAGCATAAAGACACAAATTACATACCCTCCTTTGAGCAAAATTTTAGAAAGGATACTTTAGTCTTAAAATATTAACCCTTTTGGGGACATGAATTTTCAAGGCAAATGCATTTTCAATTTGTATATCTCACAACTCCTTCTAGGCAAGTATTAGGAATGACAATAGTTTTTAGTAAAAGGTTAAAATTATGAAAATCAACACTACAGTAATAAACAATTATGCTAACTCATACATTTTTCACATTAAAATTTAAACAATCATTTATTAGTTAGATAAAAACAATGCAAATTAATACAAACAAAACACTTTGGTGATAAATGCTCATATTAACATAATTTTCACCCTGAAAATTAGAGTAGCTCGTATATGACAACAGAAATATCGTTATGTAATAAGTCAAACATGAGATACAAAACAAAATATATCCATACCAATCATTAAACAATCAGGGGGTGTTTGATAGGTGAAATTTGTTTGCATTCTTGGGAAAGTGATTATGGGAATCTTAATTAGCCATGTTTGATATAAAGGAGTGTAAAAATTTTCTGAGAAAATTATATTTTCAGGATTTTAAAATATGAAAAATAATATCATCCCACATATGGTATTCTACAAATCCCAACCGGTGGAAAAATATCAACTAATTTTTGAGACAAAAATATCCCTGTAGAAAATCACAAAATCAATTTGCTTGTATCCTTGTTCATTCACGCTGCTCTGTTCATCTTCCTCTCTCTCGGGGTTAAATTGACCAGGCTAGCTTCTCTATTTATCTTCCTCTACCCCCTCTCCCCCCTTATGGTTTCTTTTGGTAACCGAATCAAGTACTTTTTCTTTTCTTTTCTTTTTTAATTTTACATAACTTTTCAAAATTTATGCAAACGTGTTTGGTCAAAAAGATTCCCAAAAAAATGCTTCCTTGTGGGTTTTGGGAATGATAAAATAAATTGGCATACATATTTAAAAGTAATGTCACAAGAACATAAATATGTACACAAAACTTAGTTTAGGATATAAAGAGCTTGAACGAAGATTATTCTCAATTGTTTTGGACCGTCAAATATGAAGTCCAATATGTATGTGTGCATGGTATAATAATTAGCATGAATTAATAAAAAATGAACCCAATTTAACAAGTCCTATTAAAAATCAGTATAAAATTATGTTTTGAAACATTGAATTAACGAGGATTGTCCTCAATTGTAAAGGACCCACAAGCACCCATGTCAAGTCTTTTCATACATGTACAAAATATTAGAACTTGGTATAAATCAAAAATATTCGTGGATTCGAATTTGAGTTATCTAATTGGAAAATTTTACAGGAGCACAATAGTCAATCACACTACTATCACATATGATAGCAATTTTAATTTATATATATATATATATATATACATATGGATTTAATGTTTGTCCCTTTAAAGGATAGAGTTTTGTTACTTTAAGTGAGAGAAAGACACAAATAATGAAATTATAAGGAAAGAAAGTAGGTATTTTTTTAATTAAACTTTAAAAAAATATTAATTTATGTATTCCTCTCATCTAAAATGACAAACATTATATTTTTTAAAATGACAAATATTTTTTCCTAAGTGGGAATTTATGTTTTTCATGTTGTAAGAGATAATTTTATCTCCTAGACGTAAAAGCGTGTAAGGCTCACGTTTTCTTTCCTATCTCTTCTCTTCACTTGGTCCCATATGGCGTCCAATATACTTTTATGTTTGTGTAAGAGATAAAATTATCTCCTGCAACTTGAGAAACGATAACTCGTGTATATATATTACAGAAAAATATTTCTTAAGCAGCTTGAGATATATTTATCTCCATCTACCCAAAAACTACGTCATTTTATTTATTTATTTATTTTCTTATATTAATTGATTCACCTTTGTTATCGTTTCTCAAATTGCTGGATGTCCAACTAGGAATCGTAACCATAAATGGGTGGATAAAAGCATTAAATATAGGGAATAAATGAAAATCAACAATCAAGATTAATAGCTGGATGTCCAGCAACTTGAGAAATAATTTCAGCACATATATATTGTTACTTTAGATAATTTTGTCTAATGTTCACCGAAACGACGTCGTTTTGGGTTGAAAAATAAAAAATTGAATGATGAAGACTATTATAACCTCGAAATAAATTAAAATTATAAATACACAATGATTTTCGTCCCAAATCGACATCATTTCGGTGAACATTAGACAAAGTTGTCTAAAGTAATTTTAAAAAAATGAACTCATATATATATCGAAAAAAAATTCTTATGTTAGCGGAAGTTTGTTATATCATGCTCTCCTCACTTCGATTTTCGTACTATTTTTTTCTTTTCTTTACTAAGATTTGGTAGGTCCCGCTTTTTGTCTCAGCAAGAAAATTGCTTTCTCTCCAATTGTTGGAGAAAAGTAAAGCCACACACATATATGTCTGAAATCAATGATGGACCCAAAAAAATTTATGACAAGGGATGAAAATAAAATAAAAGATTATTTATAAATAACAACTTGATTTTTTTTTTTTTTTTTTTAAGGATTTGATCAAAATTTATTCCATTTCAAAGCACTCTAAATCTAATATTTATACAATATTTTTCCATAAAGACTTTTGCTCTGCTAGTACTAAAGACACCACCTCTTTTGAATGTTGTTGGCTTTAATGTTATGACAAATTTATTTTTCTATTTAATTATGAATAAAGCAACATGTATACAGATTTGTACGCACGAGAAGAAATCAAAAGAGATAACAAAAATCAAATGAGATTTTGTCTCGTCACAAAAAAAAAATCATGTGAAATTACAAGTGGTTATATGTGGTATCAAAATTCGCGAATAACATCGTGGGTTGAGATTTCTCGAAAGAATGAGATAAAAGTTATCGTAGTTAATGTTTTATTATTTTTTCTTTTTATAGCTATTTTTTTGGAAGAGTGACCATTTTATCATGTTTTGGAAAAAAATTGATCAAACTCCAACAGTAAATTTTGTCAAAATACCAGCGGCATATTTCGCTACATTGTGTAACGAAATATGTTTGCAAGTAATTCGCTACACAGTGTAACGAAATATGCCATATCAGGATGCACAGTTAGAAAAAAAATGACACGTGTCAAGCAGACAGAATTCAAGCATAATTCGCTACACAGTTTAGCGAATTTCTACATATTTGACACATGTCATTTTTGCTGACTGTGCAGCCTGACAGGACATATTTCGTTACACAGTGTAGCGAAATATGCCACGTGACATTTTGACAAAATTTACTGTTGACGTGACAATTTGGTAAATTTTTTTACCAACGTGACAAAATGGTCGGTGTTCTATTTTTTGTTGTATAAATCATCCGATATTCGATGGTCAAAAGTCCCAACTAATTTGGATTCTAGCCATACATGACCACAAATGTCGTAAAACTTATCTTACCAAGTTTTTAACATAACTACATACTCAAGCTCGAACTCAAAATAATTGATTAAGTTGAAACAGCTCTGTATTAGTTAATCCACAAGAGTTGAGGCAACCATAATAGCGTTTTCTTCACGAATATTATTAAAATATTATTTTATATATATAATAATTAAAAAAATCAAAATAAGGAGGCGGCTGTCAACCATCGTCTCTCCTTTGGATTTGCTGATGTGCGAAATAAAGTTTATAATTTTTTTTTGTTTTGCTTAACTGGTAATGAAAATAGCAGATTAATTTAAGAGTGATGATTTTCGTACTCTTATACTTTTTAACGTTTTATTAATTTACTTTTAATTACCTTATCAAATCAATAATTTTTATTTTCAATATAATTTTACCTATTTTATTCATATTTAATCAAAGATAATTTTGTATAAAAAAAATAAAGATAATTTATAAAATATTCAATTAAAAAAAATATAATTCTGATAATATAAATAATTTTATATTATTTGATAGAATTATAGAACAGTAAACGAGCTCAGCATTAAAAGAAAAAAAGGAAAGACATAAAAAGAAATAAAGAAAAGTAAATAAATGGAGAGTTGGACTCGGAGACAAACAGACCAGCATCGGGGTGACAAGGGATAACCCTAATAGGGTTAGGGTACTATCGTATTCCCTCGAAAAAGCAGATTCACCCTTGTCCTGGAAAACCTTATCCCCACGAAAGCAAACTTCGAACTCTCACCAAGGTGCTCTTTTTTCTTTTATCAATTATCATTAATAATAATTATTTAATTTCAAGAGTCTTATTAATTTATTTAATCGTTTATCGATTTATCTTCGTAACACAATTTGGCACGAAATGGGTTCTTATTAGGTACGAATAATTGTGACTCTCTCACTCTCATTGTGATTCATCATTCTTGCTAATCTTTTATTTTGTCGGATTAGCACGACTATTATCCCTTTACGGTTTATAATTGTTCAATATTGATATTTTTCATGTTCAATTTTTCATTGAGTTGGTTAGTGCAGGCCTTGAACAATGTATACTTCGAAACTCACGCACTGTTTATGATTCTGTTGCAAAAATTCATCAATAGTAATAGGATGAAGTTGATAGTGATACTCTGTTACATTGTAGATAAATGGGTCTCCGAAATGGCAGCGAACGTCTCAGAACAATGTGGACACATGAGATGGATCGGTATTTTGTTGGTCTTTTGTTAGAGCAGGTTGGTCATGGAAGTAGATTTGATGATCATTTGTTCAGCAAAAGAGCTTGGAAGCATATGTCCTCAACGTTCAATGCAAAGTTCAGATTTCAATATGAAAAAGATGTTCTAAAAAATCGCCACAAAACGCTAAGGAATTTGTACAGGGGTGTTAAAAACCTTCTTGCCCTGCCAGGTTTTAGCTGGGATGAAAAGCGAAATATGGTCACTGCTGATAATCATGTTTGGGATGAATATCTCAAGGTATCAAAATTTGAAATTTTTCTAAATCCATTCAACCTTACAAAAGGTGTCTAATAATTTATCTTATGCATAATATCTGCAGGCACATCCCAGTGAACGATCATACAGAATAAAAAGCATTCCTTATTTCAAAGATTTGTGTACTATTTATGGACATGTGGCGATGGAAGAAAAAGGTAGCTTTTCTTGTTGAAGACTACTTTATATATGTCATGCTTGATGCTTAGGAGGTCTAAGATATATTTCAATATCCAATGAATATGGATTCCCAGGTGATAATGAACCAGAAGGGTCATCTAATTCTGGTGAAAATGGAACAAACATACCCTATCTAGCTAAGGATGTTGGTGAGGATGCTGATGAGGTTCTTCATGGCATAAAGATTGATGAAGATTATGGAATCTCTACCTTGGAAAGTACAACTGATGATTCCGAGCAGAGGGCACCTAAGGAAACAGCAACCTCATTTTGTACCCGGACCCGGACCTATTGGCAGCCACCAATGGATCGTTACTTCATTAACCTAATGCTTTCCCATATGCACAGAGGGAGCCGGGCTGATGGTGTCTTCAGTAAACAAGCATGGATGGAGATGATTTCATCATTCAATGAAAAATTTGGTTTTGACTATAGTTTGGATATTCTTAAAAATCGATACAAAACTCTGAGAAGGCAATATAATTTAATTAGAAGTCTTCTTGATTTGGATGGGTTTGTCTGGGATGAAGCACGCCAGATGGTAACTGCTGATGATTGTGTCTGGCAAGATTATATTAAGGTACGTACCTACATGAGAAATCTGCTAGGAAATTGAACCTCTTTGGACTTCTATACAAAGGATTAATTGATTATATTGCGATGAGAATTGCAGTTTGTTTTTATCTGTGTTACCTTCTATGATGATTTTGCCTAGGATATAAGTCTTATTTTTAGTTCTTGGTAGTCAGTTATCTTTCCTGAAAGTAGTTGTATCTACTATTTTTTTTATGCCATTTTTTTAATGAATTTAATGATAGGTTGCTAGCCTTCCTCTGCAAGGTAAAACAGTTAAAACAACTCCATAAATTCTGCAGAGCTCAAGGGTGTGCTTGGTAGTAGAGGTGCAAAATGGAGAAAATAGGAAGGTTTTAATTTTTATTTGCTGATTGTTGGTTATGTAAGATGAATCATAGGATCAATAAAATATTTCTTATTCTTCCTACTAAGATTTTCCCCCATTCTTCGTTGTTTGGTATAAAGGAAAGTCCCACGGAATGAGAAAGTAGGATTGGAATCATCTCATGATTATGTTGTATGAAAAGAGAGGTAGACACAATATCTCTTGCATGGGGATCAAATCTCTGTATTTAGTCGTACAATCTTGCATAGGATATTGTGTTTATTTCTCTCGTAATGTGAAACTCACATGAGAGATATTTTTCCTAGAAAGTGTTACAAATAATTACTGTAATATCCTCATTGGCAATGCTTCTGAGAAAATACAAGGCTAAACAAGTTAATCACATATTTCTATAGTGTTTGGACTCTTGACATTGCATTTTCACTCATTTTTTCTGGAATGAAAATGAAAGACAAATGTTACTCAGTTCATTTTCTTTTACTCTTGTACTTAGAAAGCATGCGGTGATTTTATTTCCTAATTGGTAACCTTCCCATTTTCATCTCAATCTAGCACGCATTAAGGAATTTCAACACTTCTGATGATATCCTGATCTTAATTTTACAAGTTTTAAAAATTTCGAAATGATTGCATGCAGGTGCATACTGATGCACGGCAGTTTATGACCCGACCTTTGCCATATTATAAAGATTTGTGCGTCATATGTGATCCAAATTTTGATGAAAAAGAGTCTACTCTGCCTCTGGATTTAGAGCATGAAAATGTAGTTGATGTTAAGACTGATAGTCATTTGACATCTAAAGCCGGTCAGTCTCCAATTACATCCAGTTCCAATGAAGACCAATTTAGTGGTATCAAGGAGTTAGCTCATATGGGTCGGAAACAAAAGCGTCAATTAGAAAAGCATTGTGGTTCTTCTAGTCCTAAAAAATCAAGGGAGGATGAACAAGGCATGGCTATCGCTCTGCATGAGATGGCAACTGCAGTTTCTACTCTGTCTACAAAAAAGAATGATGATAACTCGATATCAATAGAGAATGTCATAGAAGCAGTACAAGCATTGCCTGATATGGATGAAGATCTGGTTTTGGATGCTTGCGATTTCCTGGAGGATGAAAAAAAAGCCAAAACATTTATTGCATTGGATGCTAAGTTAAGAAAGAAATGGTTGATTAGGAAACTTCGCACACAGGTGTAGCCTGTGCACCCTTTCCTTTCTATTAGTTTATATTTTCTTATTGGTTAATGGTTTTTATCCTTATACTTTTAGCAGGAATAGCTGAATAGATCTTTCTTTTTTGGCAGTCTAAGTAGATTAGTAATTTGGAAGGCAAAGTAATCTTAGATGTAAATACTCATGTTATATGAATGGAAAATGTTTGAAAAATTAGTGGCCTGCAATTGATTGATAATCTCCCCCGTAAAAGTTTTTTTTTTTAATATCATAACTGGGACAGCAGATCATCAAGGTCGCCGCATAATAACTTGCTTTGAGGTCTGTCTTCTGGGTTTGATGTATAAACACTGGCCCTTGCAGTGCTACTCAATACTAAGATTTATTTTACATATGTACCAGTCATTTAATATTTTTTGAAATGTTATTTGTATATTATTTTTTATTACATTTTTATGCTCTTTTTTTAAATATAGTATCTAGCAACATATTTTTTGACATTTTTTTAACATTTCATTATTAAGTGAAATTTCATACTGGTTTCAATTTAGTAACTTGGATTTTCTCTTTATTACTTGACATAAAGTTTTATCTGAATAATTCAAATATGAGTCTCTCTTATATTCATAATCATAAATATTTGAATTAAACAACCCATGCAATGCATAAACTTGATAACTAATACATTTCAAAAACTTCAATTGACCCAATGTGTTAGCAGTTGGTAACACACAAGCTGAGTAGGTGAGGAGAGAATCTGAATTTAATTTTCATCAAATACATCTTTAGAAAGAGGAGATGAACTTTAACAAAAAGAAGAGTGAAATATTCGGAAAATCCAAAGATTTGAATAAGGGCTTCAGTAATAAGTACTAAAAATATTGGAAAGGTTCGAGAAAAATCAAGAAAATACAGGAAGCGTTGACTGCAAATTTTAGTTAACGTATGTAAATTTTTTTTTGCTTGGAAGCTGGAATTAAGGGCATTCAGGATCACTATTGCTTGATGAACTCATCAGGCATCGTCAACGTAACATCATAATTAGCCGAAACAGGGTAAGCAATTGCATTCTTGAACACCTACGGGGTCACAAGTGCTACCAGGACATCCCATCCATATTAAACACATTTTCTCATGCAATGTCAGTTATAGCCCATAGTAAGGCAGTAAGCAACTAAACCACTAACTATTACGATGCAAGAAATGCTGAGAGGGAATAGAAGAGGGTATGCAATTGTTCTGAATTAGTATCTGCATTGCCTTGAAATTCATTACATTTAATTCCTACACATAGCTTAGCTCCCTATAGTCTATACTAGATATTTCACAAAACGTACAACAGAAATATTGATACTATTAATATGAATAATTTTGAAGATTGAAACTGACTTCTTTTTCTCTCCTTTTCCCCCCATCGTATTGAAACTAACAGCTAATGTTCTTGATTGCCTCAATCAGAAGTCAGGATCAATGATAGCAGACGCCAAAAGTCCCAGTACAAATTCACTCTGCCGTGCTTTCTCATCTTTGTCATATAAAGATGACTGAACATCTCTGCAATAATAGAAATATTTGGTCAAATATTTAGAAGAAAGGTAAAAGTATTTACCAAAAAAAGAAGAAGAAGAAAAGATAAAAGTAGTTACGTAATTAAATATCTTAACAAAGAGTACAATGTTAAACAAAAGAGGAAGTGCAAGTCAACCGGAAGTTAAAAGGCACAAATAAGATATATAACCATTTGAATGCCAGAAAGAACCAAAAGGAGCTCAGAAACCCGAGTGTTTTTGGGGACTTGCATATACAGCCAAGTTTTTGGCTCAAATCATCATTGCCTCATTGCCCGACCTATACTAGATGGACCTCAGGTCCTGAAAATGAATACACTTAAATTGCCTCCTCATTAGTATATTACCATGACTACCGTGAAAGCTAGAGATTCATGCATTAATAGTTCTAAAAATTACTCCAAAAACGATGTTAAAGGGATGCTTCCAGTGATTTCAGGCGAAGTGCCTGTTTCCAATATTTCTAGATTACTGCTTCACAAAGTGAAAGGTGATCTCAGAATGTCAAGCTTTTGGCATTATCAATCATCTAATAATGATTTATTGGTCTTGGTCTCAAAACTGACTTTTTTTCTTCCACAAACTCAACAATGATGGATCAAGCAACTTGCATGGGCAACAAATTTATGATTTCTTAGTTGATGTTTGATAATACATGAGGTCATGAGGAATGTGGTATGACACAGTTGACAGAGTGATACTTCATCATACCTTTCTAACACTGTATCATCTGAGGATATTTCTTCAATGCATAATTCACTTGAAAAATCAGGCTGCACATTTTCACGTTCATCAGCAGCAGCTGTACCATATAGAAATGAAACCAATGGATCACATGCTGTCTTAGAGGTAAACATCGCAGGAGATAACCCAGCAGAGAAAGATTGCCAGTGTCCATCCTGTAATCCCTTTCTTGAAAGGGAAAGAGCTGGGTAGGATTCATGTTTGCAGCGTTTTGATTTGAGCTGACTGTAATCTCTAGTCAAGGAAGTATAAACAGTAAAATAATTTCGTAAAAGGAGACAAAAGAGAAACAAATTTAAAGTGTTTATTTTGAATAAATAAAAGCGTTTCTATCAGGCATATCAGAAAGGATATCTTAAATATGTTTTCATGCTGCGCTGCTATGTGCTCAACCATATTCGTCCCCACCCACATGGCACAAACAGGACAAATCTGCAAGTACACACAATGACATAATTGAGTGTAATTCAACAAGCACAACCATTAATAGTACTGCAAATGATTACTTAATAGACAAATACAATAATTGTATAAGAAAAACTATACACACTTTCGAATTTTGGAGCTAATTCAAGTAGCCACCATCAATTATTGAATCCACCAATTGAACCCTCAAATCAGGAGAAATATTACAACTGGTCATTCCATTCCCTTTCTAACCAATTTTGTTAATAATGTGACAATCATGCAATGTCTGTCTAATACACTTGAAAAATATAATAAAGTATTCAATTGTTTTCATATTCTTAAGCATGAAATACTAAAGAAAATTCTCACGTAATGACAAGCAATTAGTGATCACATGATTAACAGAAATTGTTAGACAGATCTGGATTAATAGCCCATTGCAACATTTCTCATAGTTTAAGGGTCTAATTGGTGTTTTTTATTATTATTTTTTTGGGTACATAATTGATGGATTTGAAAGTTCATGGTGGTTACTTGCAATCTTCCTAAAGTTCAACTGGTGAGTGTGTGTGCATTTACATATATTTTTGCCTAATCATATTTAAAATTGGTGGATAAAAAATTAACATCAACTTTACATGGAAGCTCATTCTAGATGTGCCAAACATGGTTATAGAAATCGTCCCATTCATGATTTGAATCATATTGGAGCAAAGTAGTTAGATTCAAGTTGGAGTAACCACTTCAAGTTCTACAAGCTAAGATCTTGTCAGGAACCACATCTTTAAGGGCTTCTGCATAGATGCAAGATATATAGAAATCCAATAAGAAAATCAAGACAAGGTTTCACTTTACAAAACTACATGAATGGTCAACTCCGAGTTGGGATAAACTAGATACCAATCAAGAAACAAAAATAATAATGAATATTTCAGAAGCCATAGGATCCACAATTGCTCAGAGGTCTCAATTGGTTTAACGGTGTTAAAAGGAAAATTTTACACCTGTTGTCTGCAGACTATTTGACAAGGAAGAAATTGACTAAAATTACAAGCATCAAAACCATGGTATATGATATATTCACAAGGTATCAGTTTTTTGCCCCCCTATCAAAATAGGTGGTACTTGTTGGATGCATTATATCTCAAATGCAATCGTAAACAGCTGCTTCTTTGTGAATTTGCTGATCAAAGATAAAAATATGGTTTGGTCCTTCTGGCATTTTGTTTTAAGGGGGAACAAAAAGCAACAAATCAACTAAGCAAGCAGTAAAACAACCCTCAGGGTGATCTCAATGAGGTCTTATTGAAAAAATTACAACATTATAAGGCTTATGATGGAAGTGAAATAAGGTTATCTATGAAAAATACCAACTTGGATAGATAATAGCTAGACAGCAATAAACGAAATATTCCTATGCTAACAATAAAATTTAAAAGTTAATATGAACTGGAAAAGAAGGAAAATAAAATACCCCAGACTTTGCTTCTATTGGATGGTCCACGTCAATATGACAACATAACTCGAGAAGATCAAAATCCTCTGCACAAAACGGGCATGGATAAACCGTCCCTAACTCTTCATCCTCATTGAACTCCTCAAAATCGATTAAGAGCTCTGCTTCAAACATCCAAACAAAAAAGGTTAAACATTTAGCTAACACAAAAGACACCAAAAAACAAAAAAAAAAACAAAAAATAGTTTCCACAAGATTGAAATGAATAAAATGATGTTTGAAAGTAAGGAATCACCGAAGTGGGACATAAGCCTCGATTGGTAGCTTCTAGAAGCAGTAGAGAGGTCCAAGGTCAGAGTCTCGCCTTCCATAGAGTTCTGCTAAGTACTGAGTGATTTTCAGCTAGAAATAGAACAAGCACAATGAAAATCAAAGGGATTTTGACAAGGTATTGGAATTACACAGTGAAGTTGTTTCGGGATTTATCGTCCTTGTTCTTGTGAGTGGTAATGATATATATACATATATATAGTGCTGTGCTGCTATGCTATCACAGGAAGAAGGACGAGGAAAATACCAAGGACTTTCGGTTTCAGATTGTGCGTGGTTGTTGCGTTGGGGATCCTTAATCAGCACGAATTCTAGTTATTCTGTATTTACCAAAATGCCCTCATATTGTCCTGGCTTCGACAAGCCTGGTCATCGGTCAAATACTATATAAATTGTTATTAGTAATACCCAAATCCAATTTTATATTCATATCTCTACTTTTATATATATATATATATATATATATATATATATATGGCTTATCGTTTCTCAAGGTACTTGAGATAATTTTATTTCATTTCTGGCTACTAAATCATAATCGTACAAAGATGAATCAATGGTCATAAAAGAAGAGAGAAAAAGAGAATCACAACCATTCAAAGATAAATCAATTAATATAAAGAAATAATTTATAAATAAATAAAACGACGTAATTTTGGAGTGGCCGGAGATAAACTTATCTCAAGCTGTATGAGAAATATTTTTCCCATATATATATATATATATATATAAGTAAGTTGAGTGATCAATTAAGGATTTATGACTTGGTTGATCTTCTAATCTTGTTTCAAAATAATCTATTTAATAAAATGGATACGTTTTTTTTGTAAAGATGTTTAATTTATTTAATTTAGTAGGTTAAATTTTGAGTATATTTTCAGCGTTCCGGTAGTAACTAATTAACTACTCTCTTAGGAGAAGGTTATACTTACAACCTATTTTTGTTTATAATCTCTTACAACCAATATCTTAATCGTTAATTTTTGTCAATCAACGGTTAAGATTTTCGCAAATAAAATTTATTAATTAATTATTAATTCGCAATAAATGATAACCGTTGATTGACGGAAATCAACGGCTAAGATATTGGTTGTAAGAGGTTGTAAACAAAAATAAATTGTAAGTATAACCTTTCCCACTTTTTTATTTTAAGTAATAAAAAATAAAATTCACGTGGCATAAATCTTAAAAGAGTAATATGATAAATAATATGTGATGGACTTTTTTTCATTCTTAATAAGTTCAAGAGTACTAAAAGTATTGGATCGAAGTAAAAAAAAACATGATTATATAAAAAATCATAACTATATAATGGTAGATTAATGATAATAAAAGAAGAAAAATATATATTAAAATGAATAATTGTAAGATTATAACCGTTGATTTATTTTTGTATGGTTTTTTTTAACACATGACTATATTATGTTTTTTTTTTTTACACAAGAAAATCCATTTCCAAAAGTAATTTTCTAGATCTTAGAGTTTTTGAAAAAACTTATTCAATATAATAAACAAGTTTATTTATTTATTGTTTAGATATATAAATAAAAAATCATAATACTTACATAATTTATTTATTATGAATTAAAAAATATATTAATTTTATTATAATTACACCAATTTAAAAATTTGACTTTATTATCTAATTTGAGAGCTTTTATATAAAATATATTTTTAAACAGACTTTTGAAATACATTTGACTTTATATTTAAAAAAAATAAAATCAAACCAAAAAAAATTATATTAGATAACATATTAAAGTAAAAGTCATACCGATATTTTGTAAAACAAACTTAAACTTACTTAAACAAAACTAATTTATATGTGCAAGCCAATGTTAAGTTGTTATTGTTAAAAAACGGAAAAAATTAAAATTAAAACTCCTTAAAAACGAAGAAATAGAGATGCTGTTTAGGCCCTTTCTTCTTAATGAAATGGATGAGATCAATTTACGAATCTGACCCTTTATGATTCCTAAACCCAAAAACTTGTATGTATGATGACTAATGACTAATGATCGTTCGTTGGTTGTTGTTTCCAATTCCACACCCTCTGTGAGTTTGTGTATTAATTAAGCCAAGGAAAGGAACGGAACGGAACCAGAGTCACCGAGTTGTTCCTTTTCGAAACTTGAATGAATGGCGACGAGAAATCGAACTTTAGAGTTCAGGAAGCACAGAGACGCCGTGAAGAGCGTACGTGCTCCTCTGTCTTCGTCAGCATCTGCTTCCGGCGGTGGTCCTGTCATTGAAATGGTTAGCACTTCGCTTCTTCGTTCCAATCGATCTTCCTATACCCCTCTAAGCACCGAGGATCCAGGTCCAGCAACCTCAAGGTTTTCCTTTTCCCCTTTATCATAACGCAATCCACGTTTGTTTCATCTTTAATGCCTCATGCCCATGATTGTATTAGTATTTGGCCCAATAGTTAAAATTTCTGTCTGGTCTTTTGTGAGTGTGCAAGTTTAGATTTTGATTTGTGGGTAATTGCCCCATCCAATCATCAATAACCTAACATGCCTTTACTAAGTTTGCAACACTGTTGAAATTAGTACCTTCAAGATTTTTTGAATTTCAAACTCAGTGTAATCTCATCAAATGTTGTTGTGTCTTGGTGTGTTAGGGATGCATTTACTGTGGGCTTGCCTCCTTCTTGGGTGGATGATTCCGAAGAAATAGCTACGAATATACAACGTGCTCGAGTTAAAATTGCTGAGTTAATAAAAGCTCATTCAAAGGCTTTAATGCCCTCCTTTGGTGATGGCAAAGATGATCAGCGTCAGATTGAGACTCTCACCCAGGAAATTACAGCTCTCCTCAGAAAGTCTGAAATGAGGCTAAAAAAACTTTCCACTGATAGTGGATCTTCTGAGGATTCTAATGTCAAAAAAAATGTGCAGGTAATTTTGTTTTTAAAAATATTTTATACCATCCTATGCAATGCACACTATTTTGTTCAAACTTTACCCTTTTTTTCTTTCAATTGAGGTTAATTAGTATTGGTCTTAAGGTAGATTTAGGCTCTTGCACGATTAATTGTAGTAGGGGCAAAAAAGAAAGATATAGGTTACTGGATAATCTAAGTTCTGCTTGCTCTTAGTCAGGCCTCGGGAGATTGTCCCAAAGATATATATGCTATTACAGAAAGTTTATCTTTAGTTCCGCTATGATTAGGCTGTTTAGTCAAAATTTTGTTAATAGACAAAGTTAATTGAAAGGTTTGTTTAAAATAAAGTAAAAAAAGAAAAGAAATAGTGTCATACGAACCTTGAGAGAAACTTACCCCCAAAAGCTAGCGCATAAGGTAGAAGAGTCCAAAGTACATATAAACCCACACCATAACCTTATGTTTCCGATGTGGGACTCAAGTCCCATACCTTGCAATTGGATTGTAACATTTCACCCACTTCGTAGCACCGGTGCCCAATCGACATGGCTTTTGCTAGCCCTGGACGAACACTGCAATGCCAGCGTCACTAACTGCGCCGCTCGATTGCAACTGGGAGACATAGTGGAAGGCTCTAATACCAATTTATATGGACCTTGAGAGAACCTCACCCCAAAAGCTAGCTCATAAGATAGGAGAGCCCAAAGTCCTTATAAACCCTACACCAGATGCTTATGTTTCTGATATGGGACTAAAGTTTCATACTTTACAATTGGATCGTAAAACAGTGCCAATCAAATTAACAAGCAAATTAAATTAATTGAAAATGAGTAAGAGACTGTGAATAAGAGCATGTAAATTGAGTAAAGACTAGCAATAATCAAAGACTATGAATAAGAGCGTGTAAATTGCATTTGAATGTTTAAAGAAAACAAAGAAAGAAATTAATCTATGCAATGAAACTAATCAAAGAAATCAATAACAAATAAAAAAATCGAACAATGAAAACAACAATGGAAATAGCAACAAAGTCAGAACAGCACTCGAAATAAAGAACTGACAGGTAATTATCAAAGATAAAGAACAAGTAACTGGTATGGAATTTAATGCAAAGAAAATAAAGAAATGCAAGGAAAGAAGTCAAATAATCTTAAGGATTATCTGATTGAGAGATGAAAAGAAATTGTGAGGAAATTTAAAGAAATAAACTTTTATTGTGTGTGAATATTACATAAAATAAGTCAAGGTGGAAGATATAATTGACTCTCCCCAGACACCTCTGCATCAGAGTGATTTGGATATGTGTAAGGATGTGTTTAAGTGTTTAGTTTCCAACTCCTCTAATGTCTTTCATACTGACAGGATCTCGACTAATATCTTAGTATGATAACTGCCTGACTTTGATGGAGACATTTCTCTTGCAAATTCAACTTCTAATAACTGATGATCTTTAAATTTGAATTCAAATTCAAATGCGTAAAGCTGCTAGCTCTCTCAAAGTCTTCAACACTTGATTTTGATTAGGTTTTCCATGTCTTGGTTTTCCTTCAACTACTTTCTTCAATTAGATCTTCATTCAAGAAGGAGACCAGAGGGTCTTTCTTTTCGATCCTAGTTATATGATGGTTCCTCTTGATAGCCTTAACTATGTTGAGCATTTTTGCTTTATTGCCTGAATAATCAAAATGCCTCCTTTTGATTGTTTGATACATGAATCAAAAAGTTTATTCTATACCAACACTGGCCTTATTGGTGAACTATAGCTTTAGCCTTCCCCATCCTTGAAAAGGTCCAGTTGGCCCTTTTCTTATTTCTCTTTGTTTTTCATGTATTATTCGACATGAATTTATATCCTATCTTCATTTAGATTTTGTTGTTCTTTTAGTTTAACTCAACTGATTTTCTGTCATTTTTTAAAAAACAGTTCCTTGGTAAAAGGTGGTGATTTGTAAATAGATGAGAATTTACTTCTATCTTGAATGCGTGCTTCAAATTTTAAGCAATTTATGATATGCAAATTTTTTTAATATACTTGGTGATTTCTTGGGATTGGCATGACTAGCTTCTGTATCTACTTGTGGCAGCGTTCCCTTGCTACAGACCTTCAGAACCTATCTATGGACCTCCGGCGAAAGCAGTCGGCATATTTGAAACGTTTGCAGCAGCAAAAAGAGGTTGCAACTTTTTTTGTTAGTGAATTTTTCAATTCCAAATTATTTCATATTGTCTTCCACCATTTTTATCAATCCTGTTTCTTTATTTGCTAACTCATGAATCTACTTTCGTGGACTCATTGCTTCTTGATTTTTTGCTATTTTTAATTCTTTTGGTATTTAAATGATTGAATTTATGGTTGCGATCCCAATTCCCAACCCACAAGTCTGTTGTGTCTAGAACTACACCTGTGTTACTATTTTATATTTTTGCTTCACTGATGTTCATATTTGGGTGTAATTATGCAGGGTTATGATGGGGTTGACTTGGAGATGAACTTTAACGGGAATAAATTTGGTTTGCAGGATGATGGATTCAGTGATGTGGTATGTTGTTTATTGTAACTAATCTCTCTAGCAGGGCCATATTATTTTAAGAAATCTTAAGCTGTGCAATTTTAGGAAGGATGCATTTCTTTTTCCTAGTTAAATGACTATTGATAGTTTCTTTTCTTTCCTAGCAATTATTAATGCAAATTATATGGTGAAACTGTAAGACTTCGGTTCAAACTAGGCAATGACCTTTTTTGAGTTTGACTCTTCAGGATTCTCCAGTTGCAAAATGTGGGGTCTTGTGAAAGTCTATAAAAAACCAGAATTTTCAAATTAACATTGCTAGCAATGGTTTTTTATCATGATTTTATGACTAAATTAGTATGATTTCAAAATTATGATTCTGAGATATAGATTCTTTTTATGTTGTATAACTAGAATTTTTAATAATTGATAGTCGACAAGCAAGAAGATGCATATCTTGCTTTATGTGGCATGAGTTTTTCTTGCTTGGTTGTGGGTTTTGGCTCATGGATTTAAAGATATTTTTTTATTTACCCTTTTTTCCTTCTACTGTTTCTATTTTTGGGTTATAATATGCTGTCTCCATTTGTTTAGAAAGAGGATTAGAGATTCCTGATCCTCCTATTATTGTCATTACTTTCTATCTTGCATTTCCTATCCCAAAAAAAAAAAAAAGGAAAAAGAAGAAAGTTTCTGCAATTGGATCTGAATTTTGTAAATAATTCCCGTGTACTTTTTATAAAAAAAAAAAAAAAGGAAAACAAATCCCTTGTCCTTATTTTCAGCGCTTTATCTTTTCTTGAACTTATTAAAATATGAGGATTAAGTTAACAGTTATCTGACCTAAAGGTTCTTTCTGAGGGAGGTAGTGTGATTCATTAGGATCATTTTTGCTTGTGATGGATTTAATCTCTTGGTCCAACTATTTCTATCCTTAGGATGAAGCTGACAGTTTAAAAGGAGTATTAAATGCTATGAAATATTTATTTTTTGTTCTGTCTCGTACATGGATATGGATGAAGTTCTATCCAAAGAAAGAGATAATGATAGTTGGTATTTGATATATTCCAGGGTTTTAGTGAACAACAAATGTCAAAGCTAAAGAAAAGTGAGCAGTTATCAGAGGAAAGGGAAAGAGAGATTGAACAGGCAATTTGAAGGCATTCGGTGTATTGCTTGAAGAAAAATCACTTTGTGTACCTTGTCTGACAATGAGAATTTTGCTGTAGGTCATGAAATCGGTAAACGAACTTGCTCAGATCATGAAGGATCTTTCTGTCCTTGTGATAGACCAGGTTATTGCCCCACCCTTGTTTAAAATGGATTTATAGAATGAAAGGTGACTCAGGAAGCTGATATTCCTGCAGGGAACAATTGTGGATAGAATTGACTACAACATTCAGAGTGTTGCTACATCGGTTGAGGAGGGTTTTAAGCAGTTACAAAAGGTTCTGTTTTCTTTTACCCTCTTACTTGCGTTGAGACTTTTATTGGTTTTTATTTGTGCAAATTGGAGCTTTTATCCACATTTGTTTTGGGATTTTTATCAGCTGTTAGCCTGTAATCATCATCTTTAAACATGTACTTGCAGGCTGAGAGAACGCAGAAACAAGGAGGGGTGATTACGTGTGCAACAGTGCTTGTTATAATGTGCTTTATCATGATAGTTCTCTTGATATTGAAGGAGATACTCTTTTAGTCATATTAATGACCGCTTTACCGTCTGTCACTTTCCTCGTGTCAATATGAATCAAATCACATTGTTTGAAGACTGTATCATCGGCACTGTGATAGTGCACTTCAGGTATGAGAACTTGTTTTATAGAAGGGGATCAGCTCCTTCTTGAGTGGCAATGGGAGATAGCAAAGTACAGTATTGCTTCGTGCAATTATATACAGATAAATAGTTTGTTGTAGGTGCTTGAGATTTGGAAAGAAAATTTGTGCACTATTTAGTTTTAACAAATCATGTAAAGACTGATTTTCAGCAAATTCAAAACTTAAAAAAGAAAAGAAAAAAGAGAGAGAGTTGTGTTAGACACAATTTAGTCATATTCAAAGATAGATCTTGGATAAGACAAAATGGTAGGGGAAATTATATACATCCAAGGGCCATCAAAATGTTAATTTTTTTTTTTTTTGGACATTACAGGGAATAGAACCGCACACCTAATACACCTTAAACACACCCAACACCACTAGGCTGTCCCTTGATGGTACAAAAAATGTTAATTTATGTCAGTTATTCTGTTTATTACTCTACCTAACTACAATTTTTATTTTTATTTTTATAGATGTTTGATTTCTAACGTTATTTTTATCCCACATTCTTTTAATACCCCACTAGAAAAAAAAAATTAAATTATTTTTCAAAACTGTAGTGATTTTAATACCCCATGGCGCATTTTTAGTGCCGTTTTGCGCTCTCGCCATCGTTTGCCCCACCTTGTACCTTGCGATTGGACCCGACCATAAATATTTGATTAAATGTTGGTGTAATTCAAATTTTATGTGAACTAGAAATTAAATGACGAAGGAGCGAAGGGAGGGATGGTTGAAATGGGTTTTCGAGTTAGGTTTGTTTGAAATTTAGCAATAGTGCAGCAGCACCGTAAATTTTTTTGGGGGGCTGTGGAGGGTCATGGGGAGATAGGGAAAACATGCAAGGTAATATGGAAAATCTATTACTTGTTTTTTACCAGGTAATGCGGTGTATTACTGAAAACATCAGAAATTGAAGTCCTTTATTCTTAGGAGGTAATATACTATGTCATGTCCTCATCTAATGCTTCATCTTGAGAGTTGCTGTTACAGAATTTCAAAATGCGAAAAAGCATTTGATTTTATGAAGTATCCAATAAGTATTTTGTAGATTGTATGGGAATTTTTTAATTTAAAAAAATACGAAAAATATAAATTAAAATATTTTAGAAAAAATAACTTATAAAAAAATTTAATAAAAAAATAACCTGTTAATTAGTTATTTTGTAAAATACACTTTAATTTAATATATAAGAGATAACTGTTTGATCCAAATTAATGCACGAATTATAACTCAGTAACTCAACTCAAAGAAACAAAAAATTAAACAAAAGAGAGAAGATGTTGCGATTGCGACAGGTTATTGGACCGTTGAGCTATAAAAGTTGAAACTCGTTTAAGTTGACTCTCTCAAACGGACCGTTTAGATTATTAGAAAGCGAAAAAACGAAAGCATATTCGAGATTCGAGTGAATCAGCGATCTAGATCTACTGACCGTTGGATTTAAATCCCAATGTGTGAACCTTTTTCTTTCCAATTCAAATTCGACCGTTGCTCATTTCTCAAGCTACTTGTGCTTCTTCTTCCTCCTTCTATTCACTTCACTTCACTTCCTATCTCTGTTTTCTCTACTATCCCTTTCACTTTCTGAATCTTTATCGTTTTCTGGGATTCAATAACATGGTGAAGATGGCCTCATCTCCTTCTTCTTCTTCTCCCTCTCCGGTGACCATAACGGTGTCTTCGGGAGGAAAAGCAGGAGGAAGTAGAAGCATGGGGATAACCAGTCCCGTACCACGTGCTTCAGTCTCTAACAACCCAAATTCCCCTCTGGGTGCCGCCAGAAGGAGGGTATCAGGTGGAGGCAACTATTCCTCTATGTCCAAAGAAGATGGTATGGAAGAAATCAATTCACAATACGTAACATACACTGTTCATATTCCTCCAACACCTGACCGCAAGCCCTTATCAACCTCACAGACAAGCCTCCCTGAAGATGGTTGCAAGAACACAAGTTTCATCTCCGGCACAATCTTCACTGGTGGTTACAACTCTGTTACACGAGGGCATGTCCTTGAATCCTCCATGGAAAGCGTGGAGCCACAAAAATCTGGATTGGCTTGCGGAATGGAAGGTTGTGATGAGAAAGCAATCCAAGGGTTTCAGAGTGGTTGTTGTGAGTGCGGGTTTAAGATTTGCAGGGATTGTTACTTGGAGTGTGGTGGAAATGGAGAGGGTAGGTGTCCTGGATGCAAAGAGCCTTACAATTATGTGAGCGATGATGATGATGATGATGAAGAAGAAGAAGAGGAGGAGCATGTATCTGAGGCCAAAGACCAGGCCTTGCCTTTAACTTCAATGCCGGACTTCAAAATGGACAAGAGGCTTTCTTGTGTGAAATCGTTCAAAGCACAGAACCATCCACCTGACTTTGATCACACTCGATGGCTCTTTGAAACTAAGGGAACTTATGGCTATGGAAACGCTGTGTGGCCTAAAGATGAATATGGTGCTAATGGATTTGAACCCCCTCCGGATTTTGGAGAGAAAGCTAGGAGACCTTTGACCCGTAAGGTTGGGGTTTCAGCTGCCATTCTCAGTCCATATAGGTGAGTGAGTGAATGAGTCGAAAGCTTGATTTTTTTATTTTTTTTTATTTTCAAAATATCATAATCCTAATGTGGCTAATGTGTACAATTATTGTGCTTGTTTGTTTCAGAATACTTATTCTGATGCGTCTTGTTGCACTGGGTTTGTTTCTTACATGGAGGATTCGACACCCCAACCGGGAAGCAATGTGGCTGTGGGGGATGTCCATAACTTGTGAGCTATGGTTTGCATTTTCTTGGCTTCTTGATCAGCTCCCTAAGCTCTGCCCTGTGAACAGAGTCACTGACCTGTCTGTTCTGAAAGAGAGGTTTGAGTCACCTAACCTCCGCAACCCAAAAGGTAAATCTGATCTCCCCGGGGTTGATATCTTCGTTTCCACAGCAGACCCAGAAAAGGAGCCTCCTCTTGTCACCGCAAACACCATTCTCTCCATCCTCGCAGTTGATTATCCGGTGGAAAAGGTTGCGTGTTACTTGTCTGATGATGGTGGAGCTCTGTTGACATTTGAGGCTCTTGCTGAGACTGCTAGCTTTGCAAGAACGTGGGTTCCTTTCTGTCGAAAGCACCAAATAGAGCCGAGAAATCCCGAAGCATATTTTGGGCATAAGCGTGATTTTCTCAAGAATAAGGTCCGGTTAGACTTTGTGAGGGAGAGGAGAAGGGTGAAGAGGGAATATGATGAGTTCAAAGTGAGAATAAACTCCTTACCTGAATCCATAAGGAGAAGATCCGATGCTTACAATGCTCATGAGGAGTTACGAGCCAAGAAGAAACAGATGGAAGGTTCCAGTGTCTCCGAACCCATTAAGGTTCCTAAAGCAACATGGATGTCTGATGGTTCTCATTGGCCAGGAACTTGGGCATCAGCAGAACCAGACCACTCAAGAGGGGACCATGCTGGTATAATTCAGGTAACTTCTTCAATACTATCAATATCATGTTGTCTGTGTATTATGTAGTGTTTAAATTGGGTGCTTAAACACTAGGCTTATCTTCTCTCTCTGCTCTGCAGGCAATGTTAGCTCCACCAAATGCAGAACCGAAATTTGGTGCAGAAGCTGATGGGGAGAATTTGATTGACACAACAGATGTTGATATTAGGTTGCCCATGCTTGTTTATGTGTCTCGTGAGAAGAGGCCAGGATATGATCACAACAAGAAAGCAGGAGCCATGAATGCTCTTGTTCGCACTAGCGCCGTCATGTCCAATGGACCATTCGTTCTGAATCTTGACTGTGATCATTATATCTACAACTCCTTGGCTCTTAGGGAAGGTATGTGCTTTATGCTTGATAGGGGCGGTGATAGGATATGTTATGTTCAATTCCCTCAAAGGTTTGAGGGCATTGACCCCAGTGATAGATATGCAAACCACAATACAGTGTTCTTCGATGTGAGCATGAGAGCTCTTGATGGCTTACAGGGCCCAATGTATGTGGGAACGGGCTGCATATTCAGAAGAACGGCTCTTTATGGGTTTAGTCCTCCTAGAGCTACAGAACATCATGGGTGGTTAGGCAGGAAGAAAATCAAGTTGTTTCTGAGAAAGCCCAAGGTGTCAAAAAAGGAAGAAGATGAAGTAGTTGTGCCAATCAATGGTGATCCCAATGACGATGATGCAGATATTGAGTCCTTGCTTCTTCCCAAAAGGTTTGGAAATTCTACTTCTCTCGCTGCATCTATTCCTGTGGCAGAATACCAAGGAAGGTTACTTCAGGATTTGCAAGGAAAGGGAACACACGGAAGGCCAGCAGGTTCTCTTGCTGTGCCTCGTGAACCATTAGATGCTGCTACTGTTGCAGAAGCTATAAGTGTCATATCTTGTTTCTATGAGGATAAAACTGAATGGGGGAAACGAGTTGGGTGGATATATGGTTCCGTTACAGAAGATGTGGTGACCGGTTACAGAATGCACAACAGAGGTTGGAGATCTGTGTACTGTGTTACAAAAAGGGATGCTTTTAGAGGAACAGCTCCAATCAATTTGACAGACAGGCTCCATCAAGTGCTTCGTTGGGCAACAGGATCGGTTGAGATCTTCTTCTCAAGGAACAATGCATTATTGGCCAGTCCTAGAATGAAGTTCTTGCAGAGGGTAGCATATTTCAATGTGGGAATGTACCCTTTCACTTCAATGTTTTTAATTGTCTATTGTTTTCTGCCTGCATTATCCCTATTTTCAGGGCAGTTTATAGTCCAATCCTTGAGTGCAACTTTTCTAGTGTTCTTGCTGGGTATCACAATCACGCTGTGCTTGCTTGCAATACTTGAGATCAAGTGGTCAGGAATCAATCTACATGATTGGTGGCGCAATGAACAGTTCTGGTTAATTGGTGGAACAAGTGCCCATCCTGCTGCTGTTTTACAAGGGTTGTTGAAGGTCATAGCAGGAGTAGACATCTCATTCACCCTGACCTCAAAGTCAGCCACTCCAGAAGATGGAGATGAGGAGTTTGCTGATCTTTACATCGTAAAATGGAGCTTTCTAATGATCCCTCCAATTACAATTATGATGGTGAACACGATTGCTATTGCTGTAGGAGTAGCCAGGACTTTGTACAGCCCATTTCCACAATGGAGCAGACTAGTAGGAGGGGTGTTTTTCAGTTTCTGGGTCTTATGCCATCTTTACCCGTTTGCAAAGGGCTTGTTGGGAAGGAGAGGGAAGGTTCCTACCATCGTCTATGTTTGGTCTGGATTGCTTTCAATTATTATCTCTATGCTTTGGGTGTACATAAACCCTCCTTCTGGAAGACCACAAGATTACATGAATTTCCAGTTCCCTTAGTTTGAGGAAGATGAAGTTTCTCCAAAAGATTACATGAATTTCCATTTCCCTTAGTTTGAGGAAGATGAAGTTCCTCTGCTTCATCTTGTACTGCAAATCATGTGTATGCTTTTTTCTATGTTGTATTAAATTGTGAGTATATCTTACTTTCTGCTATTCTGATTACGTGTGGGCCAATCTCTTGCTGTAGTTATTAGTCCAATTTTATTGTTAATGTCTCAAATGACTGAGATGATATATCATGAATAGCGATTATGTTGTATTAAATTGTGAGTAATCAAGAACATAACAAGAAATGTGCCTTTGTGACTTTAGCCCCTAGTGAGTCCATTCATCACTGTCTAGCAGCCAATAAAAAAAGGGTTTTATAAGAGTTAAATTGTAGGAAAAGTGATTGTGTAATGTTATAGAGATTCGTTTTGCGTGCTTAATTTATTTTTTATTTTTTTTTTAGAAAGTGTGGACCCCACAAAATGTTGTGTGTGTAGGAAAGTTGTTGGTGTCATGTGACATGATAGATGTAAATCCCATAAAAAAATGTAACATGATATTTACAAACGAAAAACAACATAACAAGAAATGTGCCTTTGTGATGTCTAGCAGCCAATAAAAAAATGTAACATGATAATTACAAACGAAAAAGAACATAACAAGAAATGTGCCTTTGTGACTTTGTATATCTGGTATTGCCCCTTGTTTCTAGTGAGTCCATTCATCACTGTCTAGCACAGCCAATAAAAAAATGTAAAATGATAATTACAATCGATAAAGATCACAAATTTTAATAGGATTTTGATTCTCATTCAATAGCTGATATTTGGTTTGTTAACATTTTCGTCAAGACGTCGGTCATAACATACCAATAAAAGCCACCTCGCATAAGAACAAAATCTCCCCCGCGACAACTTACCAAATCAGAATTTGAGTAAGGATTAATGTTTCATTTTGTGCTTAGTATGTGGTTATTGATGTAGTCTTGTTGACGCCAAATTGGGACAAAAACCCATTTGTCATTGGCTGAGGCAAAATTTTCACCTCAAGACCATTTATAGCCGATGGAGAGCGGAACAAAATTACAATGCTCAATCTCATTATTCTCCCTCTGCCCAGAGTTAAAATCAAGACCATATTTACCTACAACTCGTTTACAGCAAATCCACGAAAAGATTTGCATATTGACAATTAAAAATAATAATAAAAGGAATCAGATTCCAATTCCATCCACATGAATGAACTACCTTTACCCACTGAAAATTTGGTGGGAAACAATTCTTTTCAGTGAATATAAACACCTCTTTTATTTAAGGGAATGTTTTATTTTGTTTCATGCAGATGAAAAGTGAAAACCATTGCAAAGTGCCGAGAGTCAAGAAGTGTAAAAATATTCAGGAAATAAATAGAGCCACTTAGAGACCCATAGCCAATTAAGAGAACGAACCACTACGAATCTACGATCACTTGTCGATTGTCCAGTGCAGCTAGCTGCCCCGTGTTAGGCCTCATCTAATCAATATCCCGCACCTATGTGTCTATCTTCACATTCTTGATCCGTCCAAAATATATAGATATCTAATCAAAAACTTGTATTAACTTAGGATTATAATTACTTTTTTTTTTTTTTACTCCACGCCAAGGTAAATTTTGTCAAAATGCCACGTGGTATTTTTTGCAATACTGTGTAGTGAAATATGTGTGCAAATAATTCGCTACACAGTGTAGCAAAATATGTCGCGTGTTATTTTGACAAAATTTATTGTTGACGTGACAATCTGGTATTTTTTTTTTTTTACCAATAGTAACAAAATGGTCACTGTTCCCATTTACTCGGTCAACAAACACGTCAATGACAAAAAAAATTGAGCGTTCACCGTTTGCCTATATCTTCGGCCCAAGTATTCGTTGCCATGTCCAAACTCCTTATTAATAGTATTTTATCCTAAAACCGACACTAGACTTATATTCCACGATTTAAATTACCAACCAAGTATTATACAGCAATTATTAGCAAGGCTAAAAGCCAACGACGTTGCTCGCATATGCATAAATTTGGATTATTCCCAAAGTATATTAGACTATATAATTTATGACAAAACTATCTAGATAGAAACACTTCAGTACAATTCGCACCGTCAGCAATTTTTCGTGATTTGAGAATTTCTAAATGTCATCATAAGTACTAAGTACTTGTCAAAATCTAAAATGTATGTTTAGAGGGGAGTATCTAACGATAGGTCAGTTGGAACTGAGCAGTTGAGGATGAGAGTATGTATTCGATCATTCTCAGTATTATATTTGGAAGAAGTTTAAAACTTTATTCCTGAACTCAGTCCGAACAGAATTACTTTCCGTGGGGGATAAAAAAAAATTAGTATCTAATACTCTCTTTAATTTTTTCTTCTTCTTAGTTCTTTTTTAAAAAAATAACTTTCCGTGGATGATATTTATTTTGTATTGAGGAGACATTTAAAGGCAAAAACGATGTCAGGACCCCTCAGCTCAGACCAGTAGAACCATTTAACTTGATTTATTCCTCCACTAGCTATCACAATCTTTTATATAATATTTATTTTTAAAATTAATATTAAAGTATCCAGCAATGTCAGGAGTCAGGAATAGGACAAACGAGTTTTGTATTAAAAAAAAAAAAAGGAAAAAGGAATAGGACAAACGAGTTTCATTTAGTGTGGAATGTGGAAAATGAAGCATAAATCCTATGGCGATGAGAAAACAGAACACAAAATAATTGCCAGCTATGCGCGCGGTGCCAAGGACAAAGTGATTGAGATAGAGTGACACACAACAAAGAAAAGAGTGGGGAAGACCGAAGCATATGCTTCCCTCAGAGTGCCCCCGAACTTAGCTTAGCTGCCAACTCAATCCAGAGACTCATTGGATTTTTCTCATGACTTATTTAGCTTTGCCTCCGGCAAAAGATTAGATACCTCATGCCCCCCATATATCTTACATTCTTCAAAGCAGCCCCTCGGTTCCTTTTGGCCTCTCTCTGTAGACGTGGACAACTAGGCTATCCACCAAGCACCAACCTACGTGTCTTCCACCTTTGGCTTATATTGACTATATATAAAACATAAAGCATACAAATTCAGCTTCCTTTTCTTTCCTTTTCCTTGTTCCCATTAGCAAGTAGCAGTAGCAACTTAGTCCCTTTTCCCAACATAAAAAATTGAACAGGATAAAATGCAAACTGGTGCTTGGTAAAGTAATTTTTTTTTGGTTGAAACCATGGCAATATGGGGTGGGAAAATTGTTTTTATCATGTTTGTTATGAGTAAAAGTAAAAAAATTTCAAAATATTTTTTTTCTATCATTCTCATTTTTAACTACACATGAAAAACGAAAATGTTATTTCATGTTATGGTATTATTTTTTTCTCACCAACTAAAAAAACACATTTTCACATAAAAAAGCTTATACAATATATCAGCAGATGTGTAAAAAATAAACAATTTTGTCATTTAAGTTCAGATTCCTATCAATATTTTACAATCAACCAAATATAACATCAGTAAAATTAACTCAACTTTTCTGGAAAAATTTTAACCTACTAAACACTTTTTTTAATTTACTCGGAAAAAAAAATTACCATATTCCCATAAATCTTTTTTTTTTCCGATAAAAAAATATTTTTTATCCGTAGGTTGGTCTCCCCGTGAGTTGGCGTATGCAGTAAAGATCATATCATCATAGAAGATGGCACCGAGAAGAAATTCTCCAGAATCAAGCTAGAGCCAAGAACACTAGTCTATCACATTAAATAAAGTTATTTATCCACAGTCGAAGTAATTTTATTGAACGTGTTTACAACAAGCACATTATTTTCTTAATGTTGCAATGTTTGGAAGGCAAGCTTATTCTTTAATTGAGTTGATGCACCAAACATGAGGGGACGTTTGACATAGGAGAAATTTTTCTTTATTTGAAAATTTTGATTTTTAAAAATAATTTTTAAATTCAGTTTACGATAATATCTGAAAATTTAAAATTTTAAAAATTTCAGTTAACTAAGAATTCGAAAAAAATCGGTGTACCAAAGGTTCTAAATGCCACCGAATAATAATATATCTCGCTTAAGCAAAAGAAGAAACCAGAAGACTCACCTGCGCCTTTTTTTTTTTTTTTACATCTTTTTTCAATTTTATTTTCAGTTCATGAATCACAGAATTTTGTAGAATACAAAATGACAGACAAATTGCCTGAGAAAAAAGGTCTAAAGAAGAAATATATAAACAACTAATATGTGATTACTGATTTTATCACAGAAGAGAAAAATAATGAAGGGGAGAAAAAAAAAAAAAAAGACTTTGCTTAAAATGAGAATTAAATGAAATAAACCGAGGCCAAGTGACAAAACAGCGATTACCCTTTGCTGTTAAAATCCATCAATGATGATTGATCAGTGAGTGTGTCCGTACAAGTCAAACGGTGCCCATAGAGAGTCAAGAGGGCAAGGCCGTTTGGAGTCAAGGCGGAGCCATGGCTTGCCACTACCGGACCAATGCAACAGGCTAACTGGACCAGGGTGCAAGTCTCTACAGCTACCCCCAACGTTATCGCCACCCAAACCATGCTGGTTCCAGCGATGCTGAATGGGCGCCACGTGTCCTGCGAAAACAAGCAAGAACGGCGGCAACGAACCAAGCTGGTAGATCCTATCGCTCTTTTGAATTTCCATCCACCTCTCAATCCGCTTCGTGTACCCTTCCTTTCTCCATCTTACCAGATCCATAACCATCACTCCCGTGTTGAAGTAACACGGTTTCCGCTGCGCAAACGTGCCGGAGAACCGCTTGTCCGACCAAAACCCCGCCGTGAAATACTTTGTGAAGTTTGCGTGGCAGTATTCCGGAGCCCCGATTGTCCGAGAACCCAAGCTTGTACTCCACAGTTTGGAAACATCATCCACAACAACGAGATCCGAATCCAAGTAAATAACTCTGTGGACGCAACTCTCCAATAGATCCGCAAGGTAATTCCTAGCGTAATTGAGTGGCTGCTCCAGCGCTTGCCTCACCGAAGTTGAAATCAGGTTTTTCACAATGTTTGGATCGAAGTAATAGACCTTGAACTTCAACTCCGGGAACGTGGATTGAACCAAAAACTCTAGATTCGTCTCTGAGACGAGGAAGTGGAAGAAGATGCTCTCAGGGCAGAGGGAATGTTGCAGGATGGAGTGAACGGCAGCAATCGAACCGCGCAGGTAATCGATGTCTAGGGTTATGGCGACGTGTACAAAGGAAGGGTCACACACAGTTATTTCCCCTGAAATCCAACCACATTCATCGGCATTGCGGAATGAAGGGGCTTTCCGGAAAGAAAATCGGTTATCGGTATCAGCGAAGGGTATGTGAAGGTGCGAGGATCGAATTGCTTCGGCTGGGTGAAAGGATTGGAGGGAGGGAGAGAGAATAATCATGAACATTGCGGCGGAGAAAAACCCGGAGAATCTCATAATCCACAACATTTCCTCGCACCGCAAAAAAAAAAAAAAAAGAAACCCTCCCTCCTACTCGGATTCGAAATCGAAACGGTGAGGATAGGAACTATAGGGTTTCCCTTCCCTTTTTAATAAGGAGACTATGGAAATGGAAAAGGAAAGTAGTTAGAATCAGTCTTTATCTCTATTGCTCTGATGCTTCTTCTTCTTCTTCTGCGAATGAGTGTCATGCAAAGTAAGGATGCCGTGGAGGCGAAGCGAGTTGGAGTATGAAAGGAGAGGAATCCATGGAAAGGCGTGGTGCTTAAGTGCGCACACTCACGCTTTCTAATCTTCCTCTGCCTCTCTTTTTATCATTTTTTTTTTTCCCACTTCAATGCCTCTGCCTCCCCCTAATATGAGTTCTGTTGCAACAAAGAGATTAATATTGGAACAAAAGGGGGGCGATAAGAGTGTGTAGTGGCACGGACTTGTCCATAAAAGAGAGCTTTTTTCTTTCCAGCTTAGCGATTGCGTTTTCCACCGCTGAAATGCAGCGCACGCTTTTAAAACAATTATTATCATTTTTGTGTGAAATTTGTAATCTTTATATTATGAATTCGTGCCTGAATTTAAAGCAAAACATTAATATACTTCATTTTTAATGGAATGGAAAAGGGGCATGGCTATAACTTAAAAAGTACCAGCTGTATTGCCTTCCTCGGAATTGACTATAGTATCCCCCGAACCATATTGTGTTACCCCCACCCGCCCACCCCTTTCGCCCGAAGGATTCTACCATGTCCTGCCTGGGAGTGGTGCACCAATGAGCCACCAATATAACCTGTTGTTATAGAGGGTTAATCATGGTTTTATTATTAACTTTTTGTCTTTTATATATTTTTTACTAGTTAAGTATTAATGAAAGGGAAATCATTTGCATAGATTGATTTCTCATGTTATTCTTCTTCTTCTTCTTATTTTTTTTTTTTCTTCTAAATATTGGTGGGATTCATTTTATTTATCTTTTAACATGATATAACTTCTCTTTTCTCATACTACATGAGATAAGTAATCTCCCTTAATAAAAGGGGAAAAAATTTGTTCAATAGTCATTTTTGTTAAAATAATTATTTTTTATTTAATAATTAAATTAAAAAAATTCTCATTTTTTTCATTATAATTTTTATTGTGTAACTATTTCTCTCTCCATAAAACAATGTAGTTTTGACTAAAATAATATATAGTGCCTGTTTGAATGACTTTTTTTCAGAAAAAAAAGAACTTTTAAAGTCCATTTGGATATTTGTTTTAAAAAAAGTCAAAAATTTGTTTTTTTTTAAAGAAAAAAATTTTAATTTATAAAAAAAATAGAAATCAATAGACAAATATTTTTTTTCGAAAATTAAATATTTTTTAAAAAATCTAGATAATTTTACTTTTTATAAAAATTACTTTTAAAATAAAAAAAATATAAAAAGTTTTTTTTTTTTACAAGCCCATCCAAATTGACCTATAATTTTTTTTTTGACACATTATATTTTTATATTGTTTAAAAGAATAAACACTGATAACTAAATAAAAAGCCTTTGTTTCAAAATTTGTTAACCACGGTCACAGCGCAGGATTTCTTTTCAAATATTGATAAAAAAAGTAAGCTTTTTTATGGACTCAGTTGCAATATTAAAACAAAAGTAACTTGAGCACTAATGAATAGAGGTGTTCATCAACCGATCCAAACCGCGAAAATCAAACTGAAAAATCGATAACCGAATAAATCAAAAACCGAAAAATCAAAAAACGAAAGAAAATCGCAAATTTTAATTGGATTGAATCGGTTTTCAGATGGGTTGATGAAAACCGATACAATCCAAACCGATCCAATATATCAATTATCCTCTACTTACTTGTCATTTCTCCAATTATAGCCCAAAAATTTCTAAACTTAAGACCTATTAACTCATCAACTAAACCCAAAAAAAAAATTTAGTCACGTCTCATCAACTATAGTATTGTTTACTGATATTTTTGTATTTCAATTTTATTTTTTTTTACAAAACCAATATATAGAAAAGATGTTATTTGCACAATAATCATGAAACTAATTTTAGGATATTCAAAAAACCGAAAACCGATCCAATCCAAACCGAAAAAAATTGGATTGGATCGGATCGGATTTGAAAAAAAATCTAAATCGAATGGATGATTACATGATCAAACTGAAGGAATTGGATCGGATAAGTTTTGCTTTCAAAACCGATCCAATCCAAACCACGAACACCCTTACTAACAGACCATTTTTAAGGTGTTGTTTCACCTTGCACTTCTAAAATGCACCTTAAAAAAATACAAAAAATAAAATATAAAATGTACCTTAAAAAGGAGTGGTGCTTCCATGGACCCTTGACTTTACCTGCAAGTCAATAAATTTTGTGTTTTTAATTACGGAAATGTTATTCTTCGTCGACAGGAATATAAACAGTAATTTTTTTTTTTTTTAATAATATAAACAGTAATTTCTATAGAGAGAGATCGATATTTGAATTTTTTATTTTTTATTTTTTATTTGTTTTAATCATAAATGATAAAACCCACAGACAACTGTATCTGCTAGAAAATGGGCTTGTCAACTGCAATATAAGAAAATTCAACCCCTTTAAATTATCAACTTTTTCATCTGCACTCCATTTTAAGGATAATCTAATGGTCCACTTCTTAATAAAGGATGTACTGGGTACGTTTAACAGCCGATGCACCACTTACTTTACAGATTATTGTTTCCTTTATTTTGCATTTTAGTCTTCATGAATATGATTTTTTAAAATTGTAATTTGGTCTTTCATTTTAAATGAATTGGTCTGAAAATTGTTAGATTCAGTTTATCATACAATATCAACAACTTAAACATCAACGATTTTTCCAAAATTATCATACACTTGGTTTTGTTTTAAATTTGAAACATATAATCTAAAGACACATCAAATAAACCTTGAAAAAATTACACGATGTTACAATATCTCATTGATGCTTCAATTTATATTAATGAAAATTTATTGCTTAACAAGTTAATATTATTTATGTTGATTCAAATATTTACTAAAAAATCTATCATTACTAATATACTTTTATAAATAAGTATAGGTTGTATATATAGTGATTTCATAAATATATAAATACCAGTGGTATAACAATTTCTAAAATGAAATTACATATATAGAGAGAGGGAGAGATCGTTCAATTTTAATTTAATTAAAAATTACGAGTTTTACATTTTTAGTTTTTTTATTCAATTTTTTATTTTTTTTGGTTCGATTTTAGTTTTTAAAATTATCGTTAGGTTGCATCGATTAATAAACATGCTGCTTCCAGACCCTTTTACTTCTTCGTTGTCTCCTTTACTATGTCTTCGGAACTAAGGGTGAAGATAGATTAATCTTTAATTTAAATAGGTTACACCTCTGTGAAATATTTTATGTTTAGCTTGACGTGTTAGTTTTATATAAGTGCAAATTATTAGTCTGACCGACTTATATCAAAAAAATAAAAGTCTCAATCTAGGTCAGTAATCTATTAAAAATTTAATAATTAAAAAATAAAAAAGATTTATTATTTAAAATTATTAAAATATTAATTTTATTTACTTTAAAGAAAGTAAATAAAATTATATAGGTCGCTGTGTATGCTTATAGGTCTGGCATGTAAAAGAAAACTTATGACCTCTATTCTAAATAGACTTTTTTAAAAATATTAATCTATTCTATCTGATTATATAAAATAAGTTGAGTCTGACCTAATATGATAAAACATAAACACTATACGTTGGTCTACCTCATTTACAACCCTATTCGCAGTGTACTGATTTTCGAAGGTTGCTCATCTTATTCCACGTCCAAGTTTTCCAAAATCCTACCTGTCCTAGTTGGGACCATTTTGCAGTTCATCATGTTTAAGAGTGATATTATAGTGTGAGACACAGCATTTGCTGCAATTTAGAGATGGGTGATATTTCTAATTATGTAAATAGAAATGTAAAAAAGTATAAAATATTTAATTTAAAATTAATTATTCTACTTATTAATAAAAAAATATGAAAAATAATAATCATATAAAATTAGATTAATAATAATAAAAAAGAAAAATATATTAAAATATATAATTATAAAATTATAACTGTTGATTTATTTTTATACAATTGTAATATATATATATATATATATATATATATATATTTTAACACCATAGGAACATTTTCACTTCAAACACGTACAAAACGCAATACGCCAAGGCCGAGGTGCGAGAAAAAAGAGGTTATAAATTTGAGTGATAGGAGATGAAAAATTCCGCAGAAAGCATGTGGCTGTGGTAAATTTTTTTGTGTGCATCGGATTACCCAACTGTCACTGTGTATTACATTCAAACCTTCAAATATTGGGTTTTTGAGTAGATTAGATCTGTAGCCACATGTATGAATGTGTTGTCAACTCACTGAGAGGGTGCACTGTATAGGTACGGTGCTCCTGCATATCACAGCTGTGAGATTCCATGATTATAGTTCGTGTTGTGGTCTGGTGTCTGCTCTGCATCTCAGACCCTACACTTTCCTATCTTATGCTACACCCTCCAGCCTGTCATCCACTCCCCTCCAATTATTTGGTTCGGGTCTAAGCCACGTACCACGGATCGGATTGCACCCGTCTATCTAATACTCGACATTTGGTGTTTTGGTGCCTTCGTGAACCAGGTGTTAACGGACCGAACCGAACTGAGCTTCGGTTACTTTTTATGAATATAATTATCGGCATATGACCTGACTCATTTACAAAAAAATTTGGTTCAACCTGCTAACCTGTTAAAAAAAACAAGACAACAAAAATTTATCCAAACAGAATATATAATCAATAGCACTAGTAATTACATAAATATTCATAAATTCAATGTATATCCAAACAGCATAATATAGAACAAAATCATTCAAAAAGTCTGGTTAACCAATAAAATGAGACAAAATGGATTGAGAAGAGAGAACTATTACAAGTAGTATAAAAAATAAAATAAAAATTAATATACTAGGCCAGCCTGAGAGACTCTAAGGCCGAGCTTTTCAATTGGAGTTTGACGTCTTTTTATTAAACGAGCTTTTATACAAGTCAAAGTCTGGTTCTAATTTTTTTCTGCACTAACAAAAACTTGTGGGTCCCAGTACTATTTTTTTTTCGAGCGATGAGTGAGAGAGAGAAAGGTGATCATGGGAAGAATCCTGGCAAATCAAGTGAAGAACTTGACATTCTTCAAAGAAGTAATAAGAGGAATAAAGGTGAGGGAGATCAGTTTTCAAATGATGTATCTATGATACCTAGACATGAAGGTTGGATGGAAGATGAGAATGGCCAACGTTCAACCTGGAAGGAAATTCTGATGCGTCATAATGGAGAAGATGATGAATGGGAAGGAGAGGCGTCTGCCGAGGAAGACTTAGATGGGGAGGAACCTGCTGAGGAAGAGGATGTCAACCATGGAGGAATTAAGATGTGGGAGGAAGATGATGGGCGTACTTATTTTAGTTGCACCAAAAGAGCAAGGAAGAGAATGAGGAAACCTTGGGAGAAAGCTCTGATTGTTAAACTCCTTGGGAAGAAAATTGGGGTGGAGTTTATGAAGAAAAAAATAAATGTCTTATGGGCTAGAAAAGGCAAAATCAATGTCACTGATATTGGTAATGACTTTTTCGTAGTCCAGTTTAGTGAGAAGGATGATCTCAATTTTGCGTTGAACGGTGGTCCATGGATTGTTTTGGGTCATTATTTATCGTTGAGGAAGTGGGAACCAACTTTCAGACCTAATAGTGCTGGAATTGCTAAGATTGCTGCTTGGATTCGTCTACCGGATATTCCCATTGAATTCTATGATGAAGCTTTTTTTAGAAGGATTGGAAACTGGTTAGGCAAGATGATCAAGGTAGACAGCAATACAAATGCTCATGTAAGAGGACGGTTTGCAAGAATATGTGTGGAACTGGACCTATCTCAGCCATTAAAGGGTGATTATGTGCTGGAAGGATTTACCAAACAAATTGAGTATGAAGGATTAGGGCTCATTTGTTTTGGTTGTGGGAAATATGGACATAGCACCGAGAATTGTTCAGCTGCTCCAAAGCAACGCAGTTCATCCGATATTCATAATGACGATCAAATTCATCAAGAGGAACCTGGCAACTCAGAATTCCATCGAAGTAAAGGATTGGGACCTTGGATGGTTGTTAATCGTCAACGCAGGAGCCGGCAACCTCCTCAGACGGCCGGTGCAGTCCAGCCAGGCGCTGGTTCAAAAACGTTACAAAGGAATAATGATAAGGGAGTTATGACCAGCGATAATCATGGAGATAATCATGGTGATAAGAGAGTTATGACCAGCGATAATCATGGTAATCATGGTAATAAGGGAGTTATGACCAGCGATAATCATGGAGATAATCATGGTGATAAGGAGGAAATTACGCAATCACGGTTTGCAATCTTAACAGCTGGACCTATTAATGAGGAGGATCATAATCAAATAATTAATTCTGTTACTCCTCATATGGGGGCCCCTCAGTTTGAAATTCCTCAGAAAATATGGACTAAATCCAAAAAGTCCAAAGATACCCCTAGGACTAAATCAACGGTTCCTACTATGCATACGGCTCATTCTTCAAGCACGGGTAAGAGGTGTCCAGTCCAGAGTGAAAATCGTGAAGATCATACTCCCATTCCACCATGTCCATCAATTGCTACTTTCATGGCGGTTAGTCCTATGCAAGCAAATCAACATGATCAGGAAAATGGGATGAAAGCAGATAGCACTTTGAACCAGAATCAAGAGCAGTTATATGACACATTTCATAAAACTGGTCCTGATATATCAGTTGACAACAGCAGCGACATCCAAAATCCTGAAACCTCAACCATCTCTACGTGCATGGAGGTGGACAGAGTTCACCAGGAAGATATTTCAAGAATGAAGGATGCAAGAACCTTGGAGTCTTGCGTTCAACATAGTTTTTAATGAATTTATTCTTCTGGAACTGTAGGGGAGCAGTGAAACCCCAGTTTCAAAATTCGCTTTTTCTGTTTACTAGGAAATATAAGCCTAGTATTGTAGTGATTCTAGAACCTCGGTGTAGTGGTCAAAAAGCTTCTGACATTATCCGAAAATCTGGGTTTAAGCATGCTTTTGTTCAAGAGGCAGAAGGTTACTAATGGGGTATTTGGATCCTCTGGAATGATGAGACTGGTCTCGTTGAAATTATTAATCACACAAAACAGTTTGTTCATTTTAAAGTTCAGAATTTTCATGTTCCTTCCTTTTCTTGCACGGCAGTTTATGCGAGTCCTAGGGAAGAAAATAGAAAGGAGCTATGGGATGATCTGCTAAACATTAGTCTCCATTGTAATGGGCCATGGTTGGTGGCTGGGGATTTTAATGAAATAGCAAATCGGGATTAGAAGAAAGGTGGTTGTAGAGTTAACTTAAACAGATGTTCCAATTTTGCAAATGTTCTTCATAATTGCAAGCTGCTGGATCTTGGAGGATCAGGTCCTTGGTTTACATGGAAGGGTCCGAAGTTTCTTCATCTTGATCGTGTTTTTAAGAGGCTGGACCGAGCCTGTGCTAATGCAAGTTGGAAGACTACCTTTACTGATGCTGGCGTTAAGGTACTTCCACGGATTTATTCTGATCATAGTCCCATTTTGGTCTACTTGTCTAACTTGGACACAGGTTGGAAAAATCGTCCCTTTCGCTTTGAGATTGCTTGGATGGAGCATTATAACTTTACTCAGTTTCTGGCTAGGAGCTGGAATGTTGTGAAAGACACTAGAACGAATCTGCATGATCTGACTCCAAATTTAAAAAGATGGAACAAGATAGCCTTTGGCAACATTTTCAATAGGAAGACTAACCTATTGCATAGTATTGCAGAAATTCAGAATCATGTTGATTATCATACCAACTTATCTCTCCAATCTAGAGAAAAGGAGGTTAGGAAGGACCTTGATGCGGTTCTCATACAAGAAGAGATCTTATGGTTTCAAAAAGCCAGGGTGAAATGGATAAATGATGGGGATAGAAACACCAAATTCTATCACATTAAAACAGCTACTCGAAGAAGTTCGAATAGGATTCTTGAGTTAAAAAATTCTGATGGGATTTGGGTGAAGGAAGCTAGACAACTTCATCAATTGGTAACAGATTTCTATAGCAACTTGTTTAGTGAGGAAGTCCTTAATCGTGATTGGGTGAAATCAAAGACTACTTGGCCTCTTCTGCACGATGATCTGCTATCTAATTTGACTCGTAATCTTTCGGATGACGAAATTTCAAAAGCTGTTTTTAGTATCAATGGGTCAAAAGCTCCAGGGGAAGATGGTTTTCCAGCTGCCTTTTTTCATAAGAATTGGAGTCTTATTAAGACTAATGTTATTAAGGATGTTAACATGATGTTTCAGAATCCCAATCTGATTCACCTTGTGAACTCGACTCTTCTGGTCCTCATTCCAAAAGTAAAGAGACCTGAAAGTGCTAAGCAGCTCAGACCAATCTCTTTGTGCAATGTCATTTATAAAATCCTCAGTAAAATTCTGGTTAACAGAATGAAGCCCCTAATGGAAGAGATGGTGTCTCCCTTCCAAGCTAGTTTTGTTCCTAAACGACATATCCAGGACAACATCATCATCACCCAAGAGCTGATCCATTCAATGCGTAGAATGAGAGGAAGAAAGTGTTTCATGGCAATTAAAATCGACTTGGAAAAGGCTTATGATATGTTAAATTGGGAGTTTGTTCGTAAAATTTTGGATGAAATTCAAATCCCACACTGGTTCACAAATATTATCATGAATTGTATCAACTCTGATAAGGTCTTAGTGCTTTGGAATGGAGCCATTGCAGGTGACTTCCTTCCTTCAAGAGGAGTTCGTCAGGGTGATCCTTTATCTCCCTACATTTTTGTTCTAGCCATGGAAAAATTGTTTCATCTCATTCAAGATGCGGTTGACAATAAGAGATGGAAGCCAATCTCCGTGGGATCAAAAGGTCCTAAGATAGTCCATCTGATGTTTGCTGATGATTTGATGTTGTTTGCAGAAGCTTCTCTAGATCAAATCAAAGTTATAGTGGATTGCTTGGAGACTTTTAGTTCAATGTCTGGCCTAAAGGTTAGTATTCCGAAATCTAGTATTTTTTTCTCGAAAAATACAGATGCTTACATTGCAGATGATATCACAAATGTGTGTGGCTTCAAGCAAACTCACAATATAGGGAGATATCTTGGGACCATGATGAAACATGGTCGAGTAACCAAAGACCATTATGCTAATGTTGTTGCAAGAATTAGGCACAAGTTATCTGGTTGGAGTAACCAGGTCTTATCTTTTGCCGGTCGAATTACACTTTCCAACTCCGTTATTTCAGCAACTCCTATATTTCAAATGCAACACAGTCTGCTTCCTGTAGCCATTTGTGATGAAATAGAGAAGTTGCAGCGTGCCTTTATTTGGGGTGATAAAAATGGTCAAAGGAGATCTCATCTGGTTGCATGGGATAATATTTGCAAGCCTAAGAGCATGGGTGGCTTAGGGGTGATTAACCTTCGTGTCCAAAATATGGCTTTCTTTCACAAGCTTGCATGGACGATACTTACTTCGCCCGATTCGTTGTGGGTTCGAGTTGTAACAAGTAAATATAAGAGAGGTTTGGATCTTCGGAGGGAAGTAAATCATAAAGCATATGACTCATACTTCTGGAAAAATCTGTGTAGTGTTTGGCCATCTTTTCTTCAAGCAATGCAATGGGAGATTGGAGACGGTAATGATGCATTATTTTGGACAGACAATTGGTTGGGTTTAACTGAGTGTCTTGCCTCTCTGGCTACTCGTACTCCAACTGGTTTGGAGTTGAATCTCCCTGTTAGTGCCTTCGTGAACAGCAATACTGGTCAATGGAACTTTCCCTATATTCGTCAATATCTCAATGATCAAGCTGTTGCAAGGATCCA